AAAATGATAAATTTTTTTTTTTTTTTTTTTTTTTTTTTTTTTTGGTACTGGGGATTGATCTCGGGTCCTTGTGCTTGCAAGGCAGGCCACCGAACCGCTGAGCTAAATCCCTGGCCCAGATAGAAATATTTAAGTATCTTATCATTAAGTAACATGAGTATGGTGACATTATACAATAAAAAGGTATGTATATACCTATTAATTATAAGACATCAGTACATTTTCCTACCTTTTAAAATTAAGACTTGCTCTTTATGAAAGCAAGTAATTAAATGAAACATCAAAATATTTTAAACATATTTTGGGAATACACTTTAAGCAGTTAAATATCTGAGTGCATTTCTGATTGTCACCTAACTGCTGTCAATCATTAACATTTTAAATGTAATTCTGACTTTATTTACAGATCCACAGCAAATTCCTTTTTTAAAAAAGGTAGGGGCCACATTAAAAATAACTTTATATGTCACAAGTGGTGGTGCACACTTCTAATCCCAGCACTCAGGAGGCCGAGACAGGAAGATCAACAAGAGTTCAAGACAGGAAGAGTTTGCTATTATACACCAAGACCTTGTATAGAACAAAACAAAACAAACAAACAAAAAAGTAAAACCACTTTATAAACAGAAATAATACCAAGACAACTTTTAATGTCCTTCCTATAGATGGGCTTCTATGAGCTGTTTAACTTTTGCTTTCAAAGTTCCTATCTTCATGTCATCATCTAGAAGTAAAATGTGCTCCATTTCAAGAACATGCAAGAGTCATATGATAACAATTTAACTGAAGTTCTCTCTTACACTATAGCCATGGCTGTCTCTCTTCTGTCCCTTGTTTCATCTTCCTTTATATCCAGAGTAAAAGCTTACAAATTTGCCAGTAAACATGCAGGGACACTTTATATCTAAACTTCAAAAGTATCGTGCTTCACATGACTCCCTTGGTAAGCTGCTTTGGAGAGAAATGACTAAACAGAGAGCAGAAATAATAAATATTCAGCACCATGGTTCAAGTTAAAGGGGAAGATTAAATGGAACTAGGGAAAAAGGAGTTTTAGGAAGGGGTTTGGGAAGAGGTGAAGTGGCAGGAGATCAAAGAGATTTTACCAGAGATTCTTAGAAAAGTAGCTGCCTTCACTCAAACACAATTAAATCTTGAAAAATAAAAATAGAAAGCAAAGACATATGCAAATGTTGAGGTCAAATATTTAATTAACAAATCACAGCATGCAGATGGCAAATGAAGAGAAAGCAGAAAAACGAACACTGGAAACAAGAAAATGTTAGGCAGAAGCTGATGATTAAAGAGGACATCAGCTCTACAAAACAAGAGATTAAAGATGAAATGATAAAATATGTAAATAAGAAACTTTTATAGCTAAAGCAAGGAACTAAGGGTAAATAATAAAACTAATGCAGAACTGGTGTTGCAGTAATGTTGGAAGACAAATTTAAGAAAACATAAAAATGCAGAGTAAAGCTATTAGACATTAGAATATGCATCTGACATAGTGAATCAGAAAAACAAAAATAAATCTTATAATGCTTTGATGTTAGTATTATATTAGAATAAAACTTCACATATCATCTCGTCTCTGGGATAAACACACCCACAGAGGAATAGGCTTCAGACTTTTCTTTAGCAATGCTAGGCAGCAGAAATCAGCAGACGAGTCACTAAGTTTAGGAAGTCAAGGAATGTAACTGCAGAATAATATACTACTTTGGGTGGTTATTTAATTATAGTGAAATACATTGTAAAGTTAGCAACAACTCAGAAAATATTGTAGCCATGTGGTCTTATAGGAAAATGTACCTCTTAGCCCAAGTGAAAGATGAATTGATTCATCAGTGACTGTAAAATAACAATAACAAAACTGCTGATTCTAAACTGTGTTATAAAAAGACTATTAATTTAGCATGGGATTTTCATTTAAAATTAAAATAAGATCTAATATGATAATAATAAACTGAACAACTATTCTAGAACGTAATGAAAATAAGTGTGCACATGAGAAAAAAAGAGTAACATAATTTCCTCTTCTCACACAATAAAATTTAGTTTTAGAATGCTGTTTTAAAAATTGCATCACACACCTAAATTGTTAATATCCCTAAGTATACAAAAAACTCTTTTAAATTCATAAGACAAATCAACCAATTGAACATATTAAAAATTAATATAACAAAAATCCAAAAAATACATGTCAGTGATTTTATAATAGAGGAGTAGATATTAAAATAATGGGCTAAATCCAAACTGCAACGGAATATGAAAAAACACACCTTTTAGTATGGTATTGGTAGAAGACTAATTCGGGGATGCCTTTTTGGGAGGGAAGTTTAACAATTCATTTCACCATATCAAATACAACCCAGCAAGCCTAATTTTAAGAACTTTTTTTTTTTAAACAAGATCAATGGAGTTTTGGAAAAGTCTTAAATCATCCTTCATTATTCTAGGTTCTTAACCAGTGGAGGACATCGAAGCGTACTCAGGAATATATATTTCCAATAAATTTTCATCATTACATAGAGCTCCATTTTCCTAATAAGACCTGAGAATGTGTAGAAGCCTTCTACTTCCTTCTAGAATGCTAATTTTTTTCAGTTACATTCATTGCAAACTTTTTTCCCTTGTCTTTTCAATTTAGTTATATTGTCTTTCATGGTCTAGACATGTGTTTTGTTTGTTTAAATACAGATCAACTCATTGGCCCTTTTCTTTATGATTAGCATTTCTGGCTTATTCAAATGTCACAGTATATTCTTGATCAAAAAGTGTGCATTATTTGCCATTAACATTAATCCAGCTGGGTTTCATTTTATTTATGACTTTCATGTGGATGGATGTCCCAGCACCGGAGTACATGCTTCCCCCACTGATTGGAAATGCTACTCTGTCCTGTACCAAGCACCCATGGGCATTTGGTCTGTTTCTACAGTCTGTACCTGATCCGTTGGCCTATGTACTTATTCTGTAGCAATGCTGTACATTCGTATTATTGTAGAAATGTTCTTGCTGTCTTTCTCTTGAGGCTTGATGATACTACCGGGTATGGTGGTGCACCCCTTGATCCCAGCACTGAGGTTGCTGAGGTAGGAGGATCACCACAAGTTTGAGGCCAGCCTGGGCTACATAGTTCAGGGCCAGCCTGAACTACAAAGGGAGACCCTGCCTCAAAACAAGCAAACAAACAAACAAACAAAAAGACTAGATGATGCTTTATACTACTCAAATAAATATTGCTGAAGAAAAAGTTTAATACAAATTAAAGATACCTGCTAGTATACAAACCAAATTCACCCACCACCTAAATGTCTTTTCAAATATGCATCTAAATGCTGAGTTCCATGCTTGATGAAATGTATCAAAAGGTATAGTCATACATAATATATAAAGTTGATCATATTGATTTTTAAATATATGTATCATATACAAATTATGCATTTGTATATATATTTATATATAATATGAATCAACATATCTGCAAATATACTGTATCTCATTCATATGTTTGGAGTTTTGGAAAAGTCTTAAATCATCCTTCATTATTCTAGGTTCTTAACCAGTGGAGGACATCGAAGCGTACTCAGGAATATATATTTCCAATAAATTTTCATCATTACATAGAGCTCCATTTTCCTAATAAGACCTGAGAATGTGTAGAAGCCTTCTACTTCCTTCTAGAATGCTAATTTTTTTCAGTTACATTCATTGCAAACTTTTTTCCCTTGTCTTTTCAATTTAGTTATATTGTCTTTCATGGTCTAGACATGTGTTTTGTTTGTTTAAATACAGATCAACTCATTGGCCCTTTTCTTTATGATTAGCATTTCTGGCTTATTCAAATGTCACAGTATATTCTTGATCAAAAAGTGTGCATTATTTGCCATTAACATTAATCCAGCTGGGTTTCATTTTATTTATGACTTTCATGTGGATGGATGTCCCAGCACCGGAGTACATGCTTCCCCCACTGATTGGAAATGCTACTCTGTCCTGTACCAAGCACCCATGGGCATTTGGTCTGTTTCTACAGTCTGTACCTGATCCGTTGGCCTATGTACTTATTCTGTAGCAATGCTGTACATTCGTATTATTGTAGAAATGTTCTTGCTGTCTTTCTCTTGAGACTTGATGATACTACCGGGTATGGTGGTGCACCCCTTGATCCCAGCACTGAGGTTGCTGAGGTAGGAGGATCACCACAAGTTTGAGGCCAGCCTGGGCTACATAGTTCAGGGCCAGCCTGAACTACAAAGGGAGACCCTGCCTCAAAACAAGCAAACAAACAAACAAACAAAAAGACTAGATGATGCTTTATACTACTCAAATAAATATTGCTGAAGAAAAAGTTTAATACAAATTAAAGATACCTGCTAGTATACAAACCAAATTCACCCACCACCTAAATGTCTTTTCAAATATGCATCTAAATGCTGAGTTCCATGCTTGATGAAATGTATCAAAAGGTATAGTCATACATAATATATAAAGTTGATCATATTGATTTTTAAATATATGTATCATATACAAATTATGCATTTGTATATATATTTATATATAATATGAATCAACATATCTGCAAATATACTGTATCTCATTCATATGTGCATGTATATAAATGTATATATATAATGGTGATATTAAGGATAACTTTGAAGTCAATCTATCTCTGAATTTCCTATTTTGTGATATTTTATATAATAGCTATGAGATGGATGTCAGCAATTAAAATTACTTAGTTACTTATCAATATTCGTTCACCAAAAGAAAAGAAACCTCATCTTTAGGAACTAATGAAATAATCTAGGAGACCGATCACCTAAAAAAAATTGTAGGAAAATTGTACACGCTGAACGACCTTATAGGAAAGAGGGTAGGGTTGCAGTGATTCCTTACAGCAATTAGAACTCATTTTGGAGTTTAACATTTGCCCTATACCACTGAACATAAAGCAGACATCAGAGAGTTAAACACATTATCAGCATCAGCTTTATTTATTATCACACTTGCTTAATCTATTCTGTTATATTTATTATTCTCACCATATGATGTATTTTAATATTATGAATGAATGGGGCTTCTCTTTTTGAAAACAACAGCATTAAGTTGTCACACATATTGTCCCCACTTTTCAAGAAATCACACATGAGCTAGGAGGAAATACCAAACTTATCTTCATCAAAATAAGGAGAATGCTGAAAGCCCAACCCACAGAATATCAAGATGATGGCCACAATCATTATAGTTCAACAAGTACAAAAGAAAATAGATATTTGCAGATTTTAGAACGAGTTAAAATATTCTCTCACAAGAGGAAAGCCCTCTTTCACAATAGCAGGATCCGGGGGTACAGACTTGGAGCAGACACTTCCTAAATCACAGGAAATGAGCTGTTTATGTAAGAGTAAAAATAACCCACCCAAACTTTTTCTTCTTTTACCCCGAGCAACAAAA